TATTGCTTGAAATATCTATTGAATTGATACCAAGAATTAAATTTTGAAAGCTTCTTAATATTGTACATGTGCTTGTGGAAGATGAATTAATTGGCAGAGTAATTATTTACAATCGATTGTAATAGATTGTAAATGATTACAATCGATTGTAATCGCTGCAGATTGATAGACAATGAGTAATTGATTATAATAAATAATCATTTATCATTGATTATTAATTATTGATAAGAATTGATTATTGATTGTAATCAATTATCCATTATCTATCAATCTGCAGCGATTACAATCAATTGTAATTGTTTACAATCAATTACAATCAATTAATTAAAATCAATAATTATCAATTATAAATGTTCACTGATTCTAAACAAAAAATCGATTATATTCAATTTTAATAATCATCAATTATATCTGATTGCAATTAATTATAATCGATTATTAACAATTGATAATAATCGATTATTGAATAATAAATCAATTATAATTGGATATAAAAATTTCCTGATGATGCTACTTTGTTAATTCATTAATTTCAACATTAACAAGAACAATATTTTTCTGAATATTCAAAAAATATCTATAACATCTATGACTTATTTTTTAATGAAGCTGCCATTAATATAATGAATTTTTTAGATGTGTTTGATCTATTCTTATTTGATAAGAATGTTAATGCCAGAATCAAATAGATATTGATCATTGATAGTAAATATGTAATGATATTGATTGAATTTCAGAAAGAAGAATTTAGCTGAATGATTTTTAAGTTTTATTTTAGTAAGATATAATATGTCTATTTGGTGATAGAATTGGAGAAATTATCTGATTTTCCTGGAGAATTTAAACCATGTGTATTGAGTATGTATATTCTCCAGGTGTTTAATATTTTTTTATCAATATTATTAAAGATAAGTGTATTTGCAATATTTTATGATAGATGATAGTTTGTATTAGAAGTTGAAATATCTAAATAATACTAATTTGTTATTGTTAACTTGGTGAGTTATAGTATATATTGATCATGTTGTGACTTGTTATTAAATAGTTAAATGTTGAGAGATAATGAAAGTGATTTAATATTGTCATTAAAGAGTTGTTATTATCAGATATGATTGTATCTTCTATTAGAAGTAGTAGAGGTAATGATTGATTTAAGTTAATTGATTTTGAGTATTGTAATTTGTTTGTAAAAAATGAATTATTAATATATACAAGTGATGAATTAATTGTAGTTAATTTGGTTGAAATGTGTTTGAGTTATTATTGTGATTTATTAGAAAAGTGTAATTTAATTTGATTTAAATATTCTTGTAAGGATTTTTGTTCATTTTGTAAAGATGATAAAATTAAATAATGAAAAAAATTATAATAAATTAAAGATCAATAAATATTAGTCAGTTACATATACAGTAATATTATAATATTATTATATCCAATAATATTTACTAATAGATTTATAAATCAATTAGATATTTGATGTTATAGTTAGTAAGATAATATAGCAAATACGTTGTTACGATTGGAAATTCTTATAATTTTTATAATTTTCATAAATTCTATAATTTTTATAATTACCATAATTTTCATAATTCTTATATAAATTATTATAAATATAATATCTACTAGTGAAAAATATTTATTATAAATAAAGCAATATTGAGACTTTGAAAAAGGCATCAATTGATTAATACAAAAATCTAGTTAGTTAATAAACTGTTCCTTGTTTATTGTTAATAAAATTTGTATATTTAATTGATTAAATAATAACTTATTAATACTTGCATTTATTGCGCACTATTGGATAACCGTCAAAGTTGCTATAGAATATCAGTACTATATTGCTATAGGACTGTTCCACACTAAGTAGATACAACATCTATTAGTAATAGTGAGAGTCTATCTATAAGATAGAAGAAAACGTACTGTGTGATGATCCTAAAGTATACTAACTACGACGAGATTGAGTAACTGTAAAATTACCATCGTCAGATGTTGGTTGAACATCTATATCACGATTATACTTACCAGAAGCCTAATCGTGATAACGTAATGCTTATTTGTCACCCGTTATAACTTCAAAATTTTATAAGTTACAACTAGTTGCAACTAGATAATGCTTTATTTGTTATCATGTTGCAACAGTTGCTGCACTATCTTTAATAATTAGTATAATTAGTTGATTATAATATATTATTATAATAAGTAGTTTTTATTAGAAAAAAATCAATTTCAGATTAATTATATTAATATATCAAAATGTTATTATAAAAAATATTATTATATTCAGCACTTATTATAATTAAAATTATTAAATATAATAAAAGGAATTAATCATTAATAAAATAATTATACTATAAAATATTTTACTATATTATTTGAATTAATTTAATTTTTAATTCATTATCTTGCTTTAGTATTATTTTAAAAATAAAAAATATATATAATTAAATTTCTTTATAGTTAACACTATCAGAAAAATAAAATTTGATGATTATAGAGGAATTTTTTTACTATATTTATATGTAAATAAAAAGCAAATAATATAATTATAAATAGATATGCCTATAGAGAGATTTAACTATAATATAAAATATCTAGTAATTTAATAAAAAGTTTTTTTAAAAATATTTATTTATTAAAAAGTAGTAAGAATTTAAACTTTATTGATTTTATTATGATTATATTTAATTTGATTATTTAATTTATTAAGAACAATATATTAAATTTTGACTAGCATTAAAAATAATATATTAGATTTTGACTAGTATTAAGATTAATATTAAATTTATCATTTTTGCAATAATACAGACCAAAATTAAGTTTATTAACCAAAATTAAAGAGATTTGTAATAATATAATCAGAATTAAGTTTATTCAAAAATTCGTGGAAAGTGCATTTTTACAATAAACTGGAAGATGATCAGATACTTCAACTTGTCCATGTGGCGCAGCAGTTGTGGGACTAGGTGTCTCGCACTGTAGGTTCTGGTAACTTGCGTAATCTAAATACATTTCCTATACAATCAATTTTCTTTTCAATGATTTTATAATTCAATTTCCAAGTCACAAAAATTATCCGAAATATTTCGTATTATTAAAGGTTAGGGTTGGAGTAAGATTATATGTAAAATTGTCTTCCCGTCCTTTTTTATTAGTGCTAAAAGTTCTCGTATTTTTTACTTGTGCGAATTTGTTTTGCCGGGTTGATCAAAAATTTGCGCGTCAGGGATCGGAAAATCACGTGAAGGGAAAATCGATCGTGTGATGATCATCACGAAAAATAAAACGCGACCTCTATGGTGCATAACATCTAAAGTCATCAAACGTTTGTATTTTATAAAATGTATAAACTTCTTGACTAAGAAGTAAATTCAAAATTTAATCCGTAAATATGGTAGACAAAGGCTTATTCTACCATATTTACGGATTAAATTTTGAATTTACTTCTAGTCAAGAAGTTTATACATCTTATAAAATACAAACGTTTGATGACTTTAGATGTTATGCACTATACGTTTATTATTTCCAAATCTTTTCTAGTAGGTATTAGATAAGTCGACCGACATTTGTTGACATGAGCACTACCCAGTATTACTCTGGTTATTCTGGTAAGCCTCACAGACAGTTGTTAAACTTGCAATCAAAGCTTTCACTCAGTCCCTTAATCGACCTTGTCACATACTTGAAGGAACACACAAACTGGTCGTACCATGAGTTTTTAAATATTCACCGTGATGTTATCATCAATTCGTCATCATCTTCCAATGAGTGGAATGGTCTCGACGGTATTTGACTTAAGCGATTTTTGAAAGAGGCAAACGGACTTAAACGGATTGGCAGCTTTTAGGGAGAAGGTGATGTCATTTTTTTTGACAAAAGGGCGTTACTGGTCAGTTACTGCACTGACTCAGAAGTATCAGCTACTGTACTGGCCCAAGTGGTGGAAGCGCTTCTAATCAGTTACTGCCCTGATTCAGAAGTGGCGGTGGCAGCCCTTCTAATCAGTTACTGCCCTGATTCAGAAGTGGTGATGCTTCCAGTCAGTTACTGCCCTGACTCAGAAGTATCAGCCACTGTACTGCCCAAGTGGTTGTGGCAACGCTTTAATCAGTTACTACACTGACTCAGAAGTAACAGTTGCTGCATTGGGCTCATCATTGTACTGGCCCAAGTGATGGTGGAAGCGCTTCTAATCAGTTACTGCCCTGATTCAGAAGTGGCGGTGGCAACCCTTCTAATCAGTTACTGCCCTGATTCAGAAGTGGTGGTGCTTCCAGTCAGTTACTGCCCTGACTCAGAAGTATCAGCTACTGTGCTGGCCCAAGTGGTTGTGGCAACGCTTTTCAGTTGCTGCACTGGGCTCCTCATTGCAACTTGCAAGTTTCTTAATGGTCTACTGATTTTGGAGGAATTGATATGTACCTTCCTTTATGACAAGGAAACTTGCTCGTGGGACTTCTGCAAAAAACGAAGTTACACCTATAAAAAAGTCGATGCGCTGATTCAGGAATATCGGCGAACTCTTTAAAATTTACCATTGTTTTTTCTATTTTGCGTGAAGTTATTATCATGTTAACAAAAAACATTATTTCCGTAACAGATAGAGTCTGAACGTTCAAACAAGGATTTGCAAGTCTATTGGGAAGGAATAATCGAATAATGTAGCAGGAAACGCACCAGCCAATCCATTGATCAATGCACAAGGCAAAGATATTTGAAAAAACGTCACATCACCACGCCACTTGATTACAGAGAAGCCTCACTAGTGCTAAACTTGGCCAACTTTCGATACTTCCCTTTTAACGATAAAAGTGATTTTTTCAAGCTCCGTAGTGATGCAGGGTATGTATACTTTGACCGCACACAATATCTATCGATGCTTGAATCCTTTGGGGAATGTGTACTGCTTTTCCTACGACCGCGTCGGTTTGGCAAGTCGCTAACTCTCAGCATGCTAGCCCACTTTCATGGTGTGGAGCACAAGGAAAATTATCAAGAACTCTTCAGGTCTGAAGTGATATATTTTTACTTCTCCTTTGTTTCACACCCGTTGTTGACTCATTCTGTTCCTCCTTGTAGAACCTCCTCGTTGAAAAGGATGTCCAGGCAGAAAGAGTCACTACCAACCAATATCTTATTTTGCATTTTAATTTTGCTGGACTCAATCACTCCTCTGATCCGAAGATTGCGGAATCTGCACTTAACATGATCAATAATGCTATCAGACAATTCTACAGCACTTATGCCTCTCATTTGGGAGGCGAAACAAGCAAGGAGTTAATATCAAGGAACTAATTGATCCTAATGATAGCATCTCTAGTCTTGAAAACTGCGTTCGAATAGTTCAAGAGAAACTTCAAACCGTGAATTATGAGGAAAACAGCAACCACCCGCTTGCTTATGTGAAAGGGGTAATTAACAATAAAATCTATCTCATTGTAATTGATTGAGCCATCACTTACGCTGAAGCTCGTTTGTTCTCAGATCTATCTCTTGGCCGATGAGTACGATTCCTTTAGTAACGAATATCTGGATCCCGATGATTATGCTTGGAATACTCTTTGCCGGAATCCGCTGTCGTTGCTTAAAGGTTTTTGGGCTCGCGTGAAGGAAGAATCGGCAACAAACAGATTGAAAAATGTTTTATCACGGGTGTGTTGCCGCTCTCGATGACCGACCATACCAGCGGCTTCAATTTCGCAACGAATGAACCAGAACTTTCTATGCTCTGCGGACTTAGCCGTCAAGATGTGTTCGCTGCTCTGCAGCTGCCTGACGTGTGTAACTCGGAGGAGGAAGTTCAGAGTCACTTCATATAATGAAACGTCATTTCAACGGCTATCGTTTTTCCCCATCTGCCACGAGTCCGCACGTCCTCAATACAAATAACTGCTTGGAATATCTTCAGATGAGTGCTGATGCTGCAGGGTCTTCTCTGATCATCATTGTCTTATTATCACCACTGCTATTACTGGTCATATTAGTGCTTGTTAAAAAGAAGGCCGATTAAGTCATGTCAGCCTTCCAATTCCGAAGCTTCTGAGCGAGTGCTCCAGGTGCTCGCTGCCTCGCCCATTACAATCAGCATTCCAACAATTATTCAACATCAGATGTTGAACGCTTGGCGTGTTCCAATCCCATGTGAGACTCTTCAGAACGAATTCCGTCTTTCCGACTTGGTACGTACAAAAAATGGCAGTTAAAAAATATATCATCATGCTCTAATTATTATGTCAAATTAGTGGTTTGATTCGAATAAGTTTTATATATAACAATAATGGATGTCCTGCAACCGATGACTTCATGTTATTCGTTGTATTTGATGAAGATTGTTCGGAGATTTGTGACAAATATTCGAAAAAAATTATTTATTCGTTGTCTGACTAAATCAACTATTTCTTGTTACTGTTACATTTATTCAGCATATGGATATCACAAAGAGCAGGCCGGTATGGTTGAGCTACATGTTCCATGTCGGATGTCTCAGTTTTACCGATGAGATGACCGAAAAGCAACTGCAAATCCCAAACCTTGTTGCTGCACAGCGTTTTGCAAACGCTGTTTTGGATCGCTTTGAGTTGCGTGCGAGTGATATTATGGATGCACTTCAGAAAATTGTATCGATTGAAGATATATCAGACCTATTGGGTTTCTACCAGAGGATGATGAGTAAACGCGATGTTAGTGACAATGACCTCAGGGATAAGTTGGAAGAGCATCATCGTGACAGTTTCACTTTTGCAGACAAAACCGGAGTTTGAGGTATCCAAGGCAAGTAGAATAAGGTTTTCTAAGAATAAATGTACTTGACCATTGCATCGTCTAACGATTGCTTGTTCACAGTCTCCAAACTCAATTGGGCGGATCGATCTATTAATCAAAACCAATACAAGCCGTATAACGATCACTAAGTGTAAAGCGCTTAGGATCAACTTCCTAGACATTCAACCTGCTGCGTCTCAGCCCGGTCCCAAAAGATCTGTCGACTTTCGGAAGGCATTGACACTGAGCAACATCTCGGACGTAGCCTCAGTGCTCAAATTTAAGCTTGCCTCTTATGACAGGTTTGGTCGAGCAGGAAAAACCATCCGCGAATGGATTTTTGAGATGGGTGGTCCAAACGAGCAGTGGAGCTCCATAGGACCCATAACAGTGTTGGACTATGAGCTTGATATGACCTCATATGACCTTATATGACCTCAATTTTATTATAAATTCTGTATGACTTATGACCAAAGTCATGAAAAATGGTTTATGACCATGAAATTGGCCATAAAGCCATCGCCTATCTGGTTGTTATTATCGGTTCTCGTAAGATTCTGCTCTGGCAGATGAATGATAACGGCCAATTGCTGGAAGAGCCTCAGCTGGTGGGTGAGTTGGGAATGAAATTCAGTTGTCAGAACTTATTATCATCGTGAATTTATAAAGCCACGATAAAAGGTCATTGGCCGTATGGATGAAGCAAATGTAGCCTACTCTATAGTGCAAGTTGTTCTGTGGCCTAATAAAAACAGACCCTCGGGTCGATTTTGCTTATGTCATTAGTTTTATGGGTGCATTTTTTGTCGTCACCACCGATAATAATATGTGTACTTGGACAGATAATTTCTTTAATCAATTAAAAATAGATATCTTAAAATTTTAAAAATACAAGTTTCGTTATAAATGAAAATAAATCTAGTTCTTCCCATCTACTCACTTAAACAAATACTTAAATAAATAAATATATATATATATATAAAAATGAAAAAATAAATAAATAAATAAATTGGATTAATCATCAGTCTGACCATAACGTTCTTCGAGCGCACTTTCAATATCATCAAGGAAAGGAGACGTCTCAGAGTAATGGTGATAAGGGGGAATCATCGTTGAATTGCTTTTTATCAAGAATATAATAATTATTATTACTGTTAAATGATCACTTGTTTATGGATAATGTCAAAAAAAAATCAATACCTTGTTGAGGTCACAGAACCCCAAAATTCCGGAGAAAAATCGGTCGAGTTCATAGACTCCTGATCATGATGTTTTACCAGTGATGATGATTTTTCCTGTACGCGCACAAGTCACTTAAAATTATCTTTGAAAAATTATAAAAATACAAATAATATAAATCTTCACTCACTTCTATTATACTTAACGATCCAGCGAACTCTTGTTCTTCATCTCTTTGCGTATCAAAGTGATCGTCGTTGTTTACATTGGATGAAGAATGAAATTCAGTCACAAGAAATTGGTCCGAAGATTTCCCGTATACTACCGAAAGTGTATTGAAACCTAATAGTAGATTTTTATTCGTGTCCTGTAGCAAAATAGGATACCAATTTTATTACAATAAATTATTTATGCTTTAGAGTAAAAAGAAATAAATATAAATACCTCATGTATTTTTTTATCTTTTGTGTTGTTATCACCTTCATTGAGAATATCGGCATCGATACTTTCGATAAAAATTTTCTTCGCCTATTTAGAAGAATCGGAGCAGATTTCAACTTTATTGATTCTCACACAAAAAATCATAAATGGCAATCTCCAAAAAAATACCATTTGAATATCCGACTGCAACAATCGATACAGAAACAATCCTCTTTCACGAACATCAAGTGACTGTTGTTGATTTTGATCATCTTTTATGGTTGCTTTAAATAATCTGCCAAGCATTTCACGGCACTCGCCTGGTCTTCTCAGAAACAACGAAACAGTGGTGTTCAACAGCTGAATCCGAAATTTTGAACTTTGATATTTTTCCAAAGTATCGATAAATGATTCCACTATATAAGGAGCTTCCAAGATTTCGTCGCCAAACAGTGACAAGAAATTCAGAAATATAAGTCCGACAGGAGAAGATTTTTCAAAATTAATTGATGGCCAGGTTGAGATCAAAACTAGCGGAAAACTCTTTATATTTTTCAGAATGATGTTATCGAATCCTGAAAATCATTAACAGTTTATTAATAAAAATACGAAATATTATTGATTTATTGATAGGTACCTTGAAGACAACCAAGAATCTCCGAAACAATAGATTCGACATTTGTTTCCAATAATCTCATAAATATTTCAAGCGAATAATTCAAAATTTTGTTGAACTTTGTGGCTATACTAGCAACAAGGTTGACTGATTTCCTTCTCAATAGACCAGAAGTTTCAATAATATATCCACTAAATAAGAATAACAAAAAGGATAGCATTAATTAAATTAATTATTTAATTGAAACAACCGAAGTGTCTGACCTTACTTCATCAACAATTTCTTTGACTGTGGCCTCGTTCACAATTAATTCAAGAATATCCAGTTTTTCCAGTGTGATAAAAGATGGTTCTTTGACTCTATTGATATTATTTGAAAATAAATAAGTTGCTTATGATAGCATAAATTATGTGCTATTTATTAAATTGGGTGATTTTTTTACCTTCGATAAAAATATTTATAATCTTTACAGAAAATATTTGGAGAATTCATAGCCAATGTTTTTGCATGCGTTAAACATGAAAATGAAATCTCTGGTTTGCCCAGCGATAATAAGGTTAGCGAAATATCTGTTTCAGAAATCAGAAAAAAAAGAAAATTAATAACATGTATGAATTTTATGGCTTAAATTCAAATTAAAAAAAAAATGCTTACCTTTAAATCTTTTGTGAACATCCCGATGCAACTCCGGCATTTCTTTAGTCAAATTAAGAAAAAGTTTCACAGTCATAAGCTGAACACCACTGTTATGATGTTTAAGCCGATCATCTAAAAGATTCTATATGTAAAATCTCATTGCTATTAATAATATTCCTTGTCGCCCTCGTCCTTTTTTTATAAGAAAAATCCAAAATAATAATACCATTATCGCAAATACTTCGTTATCAGATTCAGGTTTATATCTTGTCAGAGCCTCGATTACCAGACATTGATGCCATTCATTGAATTCACGTAACCGCTGTAACAAGTAATGCGCAAGGTTTTTGGTAATTGTTATTCCACCGTCTGATGCAAGAATTTCATTCAGCGTGGAAATAACATTAGCAATCACTGTGGTGTCACGATCTTGCAGTAGATTATAGAGTTCTTTTATAAGCCCCGTGTCTTAATTTTATTATATATAAATCATCAGAATGTGATGAAATGCTAATAGCAATAGTAGTATTTGTCTATGATCAAAGAAAGCGAACCTAAAACATAACGTGGAGACATGTGAAATAGTTTCAAACACGCGAGAGCTGCTGTCTTTCGTACATAAGAACTCGGATCAACTAGTCCACGATAAGCAGATTCAAGCATTAATTCAACATGATCTGAATTCCTTGATAAAGATAAAAAATTTGTAGAATGTATTGTGTATATTATTAACATAGAACAACAATATATGCTAAATAGTCAATCAATACCTCAAAGAACATAAAGTACGCAGAGTTAATCCCCTCACCAATGGATCTTTATCGTGAAGGTCTTGCTGAATGGTATTTATCGATAAAACTATGAGATCCGTGTTCTTTTGCGCTTGAGTAACAATATATTGAAACACCAATTTTTTCTGTACTAAATCTTTGGTCGATGCAGCCTTTTTTTTTTTGATCAAATAATTACAATTGACGCTTTACTCAGAAATACGAAATACTTCTTTTATTTCCTTGGATAATGATAATGACAGTACCTTAACCATTTCACTAAATAACGAAGAAACGTCTACACCTGAACTCATTGCTTTTAATACTTTTCTTATAGCTGCACGTTTTTTTGAGACTGATCGCTGTTCCGCTGCTGCTGCTGCTCTTGTATTACTACTAACACCGCCACTACCAACACTTGGTGTATGAATACTAAGAACTTCTCGAAGCGTAGCTGCTAATTCAACTATTTCTTGATCATGGTTATTACCCGAGTCAGAGGAACTTCTTTCAGCTATACTATTACTAATGCTCCTTTGAGTCCACATATTAAGAAATCTGACGAATAATGTCACTCAATGAGTAGATAATAATTTCTAATTTCAACCACATTTACTTTATTAGAGCTAGCGTTGCGTTGCGTTGTATGCTTCCGCAAGATTAAGATTTTTAAACACGAATTAATCTTATTATCATAAATACAATATATTTCTTGACTCCAAAAATTATTGATTTATTATTACTCTAGTAGACATATAAATACGTCATGAAGACAAAGTTTGCAATCGTTTTTTCAACTCTGAAATCATTTCAGTGCGTTTTACAAGCACACCTCCGCCTTCCCCTTGTTCTTTAGATCTCATATCTTTAATTTTTATCTCGCCACGCGACAGCTCATCTTTCCCAATTATAACCGCAAAAGGTATTTGATCCCGATCACACACGCTAAATTGGGCCTGAAGTTTAGGTTTGGCTTTGTACATAAATTCAGCCTGAAACCCCAGAAAATCACAAAAAAATTAAAACCTACAATGACATAAACTAACAAGTGTCGATTTCCATAATAAAAAATAAAACCATACTTTTATTCCAGCATCCCAAAGTTCAGCAGATATCCTCATTCGTTCTTCCAATAACCCATCAACCACAGACATCACATAAACTTCGACTTCATTAGCTTTAACTTCTTCCAGTTTTTCTTTCTGGAGTAGAATCGAGAATACTCGTTCCACCCCGATAGACACTCCGACACACGGTATGTTGCCTTTTTTGCTACTGGCGAACATACCGACTAGGTTATCGTAACGACCTCCGGCAGCGATGGACCCAACCCCGACGGTATTTTCGTCAAGCTCATCGGATTCCTTTTTGGTCTTGCGTTTGATTTGAGTGCCATCTGATAGTGCTATTTATTTATTAATATATAAATATCCCACTAAATTTATGTATTGTTTATATGATAAAGAGATGATAAAAAAACTATTTACTTGGTGGCCCTGATTGCTCGGTAACTGCCTCATAAATAATACCGGTGTAATAATCTAGACCTCTGGCAAGAGAAAGATCAAACGAAATCTAGGGAAAAACATTTATTAATAAATCCAGCCAAACAATCCTATAAAAAATTCTCTAGCACCATATTTAAAAAAAGCCAAACCTTATCCAAGAGTTTAAATATTTCCAAATAATCGAACAATAGCTTCATATCGTCCAACCCCATTTTGGCACTCTGATTAGAATTTAATTTTTGATCTATCGAAAGTTTCTCTAGGAGTTCTCGACCCCCTTTATAGAAGAGTAATTGAGTTTTCAGAATTCATTTGGTTATTATATTTGAAATTCAGCATCCAATATTAATATTATTAATAGTTACGATACCTGTGAACTTGACATATTCTCCTATTTTATCGGCAATACTAGGGTCAAGACCTTTTTCCTCGGTCATTTCCTTTTTCACATCTTCCCATGGCAACTATTCAGATCATATTGTAAGAAGCAATTCTGATGAGCTTTATTGAAAAAAAACACGCAAACCTTGTCTAGTTTATCGACTGCCGACGATATCGGTCGTATATTGTTTTTGGGCACACCACAGACTTCAAATATTCCATCCAATATTTTACGATGGTTTATCTGTAATTAATTAGTTATACTTGATTAAAGAAAGAATATAATAATGTGGTTATACGTGCGTATACACACCTTTATCGTAAACTTGCCAATATCCAATCCCGTCAAACATTCATACATAATCCGAACAACTTCGGAATCAGCAACCATCGGGTCATAAGATCCTGCTACATCGAAATCCTGAATAAAATACAAGACTATTGGGATGTGTGAAAATTTTCACGTAGAATTCAACACATTTTGTGTAAATATTTTAAAGAAGTTATTACTCACGCACTGATAGAACTCGCGCATACGGCCTTTAGTCATTGCGGGTTGATCTCGTCGGTAGACTTTGGCTATATGGTACCGTTTGATATTTTGATACTGTGTGCCATTCATTGCTAGAAATCTCGCAAATGGGACCTACATTAAAAAATTTATATGAATTATTTAAATAAAGTACATGAAGATGCGGAGTTTTTCTTTTTTTGAACAAACATACGGTCAAATCATAACGCAATGAGCACTTCTCTCCGCCTTGATCATCCAAATCAAAGATCAATTTGCCGTCCTCACCATACTTCCCCGCCAGTATTTCCTTTAATTCAAAAACTGGTGTGTCTATAGTCACCGCACCGTGTTTTTTAAACACACCAGTGATCGTGTTGAAAATTTTCTCGCGAATGGCCATTTCTTTCTCGTTGTAATCGCGAGTTCCCTAATTAGAAATAATAATTGCGCATAGAATGACAGAGTTTTAGAAAATTTTTAACGAAATCATGATCAATTGGTTAAATCACTAAATTTATTTAATAAAGTAATTAGTTATTTTTTTTATTTAGTTCTCACCTTTGGCGTCTTAAGAACAAACTTATTTTTGCTTTTGCTACTAGACCCACTTTCTCCCGTAACATTTTCCAACTGTTTTTTATACTCTAACAAGGTAGCCACCTCTGCCTCGACAATATCTTTTTCGGCATTTTGAGTTTTTAGCAAGCGAACTTTATCACCCTGTTCTTTTATTTTAAGTTTCAGGACAGATTCGTCCATGCTGTTCTCGTAAAAAGTCGTATTAGTGGTAGTGGTATAATAATATTTATTATTAGTAGTATAATTATATTTTTTTGCACCGGAAAATACTAATAAATAATTTTGCCGACGAAAAAATCCAATTCTGTGCATAAAGTTAGCGTGATTCATCATCACAATTGAAGGTGATCTGATATTATCATTATATAGATACGAGTGATAATCTTTAATTATTTGGTCCGGAGTTAAATCAAATCCACCCATAGTAAAATCTAAAATAAAAATAAATTTCCTATGAATATCCTCGCAAAAACAGCCCGGGCCGCCACTTCTACCTTACGAAGACCTTTAACCTCTGGTATGTATATTGTATTACTCTCTCGTTCTTACTGTTAATGTCCTTAGTCAATAATGCAATTTTCCTTTTCTTCTTAAGTTCGTTTTTATGCACAAGAAGCCACAACCCCTGGTAATACCTTAATCTTGAACTTTACTCTTCCACACCAGGTATATAGATAACATTAGAAAAGAACGATCGACAATTCTGAGCAATCTTGATTAATAAATATTGACTTGATTTCACTATTGATCTAGACGCTTTATAAAAATGTCAATGTTCATCAAGTGAATCTCGGTTCAACTTCGGGAGATATGGGTATTTTAGCTAATCATGTTCCATCAATAGAACAATTAAAACCCGGGGTAATTGAAGTAATAGAGGATTCGAATACGACTCAAAAGTATTTTGGTTAGTTATTTAATTGAATTGAATTGAATTGAATGAATTCATGATAGATTTTAATTCTTTATTTTGATTTGGATAATTTTTTCATAGTAAGCGGTGGTTTTGCTATTATCCATCCTAATTCTTCACTGGATATTAATGCGATAGAAGCATTTTCGTTGGATGACTTTTCAATTGAGGTGATGAATTTTTATGTATTTATAAGTAGCTTAATTTTTTGTGATAGAACTAAAAACAAAAATACACACAAAAAAATATAATTAGACTATTAAGGCAAACTTTGCAGAAGCACAACGGATTGCTACCTCATCTGCCTCTGAAGAAGAAAAGACGGTTGCCTCGATTGAAGCTGAAGTATATGAAACCCTTCAAAAAGCATTGATTAAATCTGCATAAATAAAAATACATTTGTCATTTGTGAAATCATCATTATCAATTGAATTAAAATATTACACTAAATATTAAAATGAAATTTTTGAGGATGACAATCATAAAAAAGGATTAGATTCAATGCATAGAATATAGTGTTAAAAATCTGATTTTTAATTATTCTTAGCTTTATTTTAATATAAAAACAAAAAATATTTATTAATAAAAATAAAAATTTTTAATTTTACAAAAAATATTTATTAATAAAATAGGAATTTTTAATATAAAAAAATAATTTCAATTTTTTTGTTTTACTATTTTTTTTTGATTTTTGATAATTTTTTATTCACTTTAATATAAAATTGTTAAAATGAACTTTATTGTGTAATAAAATACATGCAGTTTCATTTTATGTAAATTACAAAATCAATATATTATCAGAAAATTTTTTAAAGAGTTAATCATTAATAATTATTCTTTTATTTAGAAATATTGATTAGCATTGATTAATCAATTTTCGTGATCAATTAATAAATTATAAATTGATAAATTATAATATGATATTTTTACGATATTTGGTGATAAAGTGATAAATATTAATATTTATCATGTTAAATATTACTATGCATTAATATATTATATATTGATATATTTTTTGATTAATACATTTTGATATTTTATATATTATTTAATTAACTGATCACAATTAATATACATGTATTTAGAAAATACTCAGATAATATTTCTTAAAGATATTTTGTATTGAAAAAATATGATATATATTGACTTAATTTAATACAAACTTGTTTTTATTGTTTTTAAACTTGATATTAAATATGATTTTTCAATGTTCATATTGTATTCACTATTATTCAAGTTTCTATACTCTTAAGCATTATATTTCAAATAAACATTCAATTATTAATGAAGCAAATATAATTTCTCTAATTCAAATATCAATATATGAAGACCATAAAGATCATATATTATGAGAAATTAAAATATTATCAAGTTATATTTCTGATTTATTAATATTATCAGATAGAGATGAAAAAGATCTATTAATATCATCAGATAGAGATAAAAAAGTTCCTGTAATAAAATTGATTAATATATATAATTGATTGTACTGTTACCATTTCATCAAAAAAATTCGTAATTACTTAATTATTGATCAACAAAAATTAAGATGTATTGTTACCGTTTCTAGTTCTTACGTATGAGAATATTTAGAAATGGTTAACAGCGAATGTGTTCACGGCAGATTTTAAATAAGAGAGATATAAATGACGAAAGTGGATGGTTGATAATAATAAACTTAACAAGAATATGAATATAAGATGGATGTTTAAATGTGCTTGAATAATAATACAATACTAAAACTAAATATACGCTATTAATCCAAGTTAGAAAGTGTATTGACAAGATAAAAGACAATATGACGACA